TAAGCTGCAGCTTGCCAACTGTTAGGAGGACTATTAAAGAAGTAGATCTATCTTAAGCTGCAGCTGGCCAACTGTTAGGAGGACTATTAAAGAAGTAGATCTATCTTAAGCTGCAGCTTGCCAACTGTTAGGAGGACTATTAAAGAAGTAGATCTATCTTAAGCTGCAGCTTGCCAACTGTTAGGAGATAATATTCACTCCTACTGTATTTTTACTCATCTGACTGACTACATAGTGACTTTTAAATCTTCAGTTGTTGTGGGACAGTTTTCTTTCATATGGATTTGTTCCAGAATTGGGCACATGAACCATATACAGGAGGTTGCCCAGTAGGAAACTTTGTACCAGGAGTTATGGAGTTTGTGCCCCTGCACTTGAGGTCACCTTTTAAAAGGTAATATCTCTCTATATTTGAGGTTTCTGAAACCTGTAATATATCAGTGTACTTATTTAACCTGTTTTTGCTATTGATTTATCGATTTGGTAAGTAAACATTAATTTTACTAAACTTTGTCATGCTTATGATTAAGGTAAACATAAAATGTTTGGGAGGAAAAACTTGACAGAGAAACCTAATATACAGGGTGTCCCAGAAGTCTGGACTTGTAGGGGAAAATAACCATTATATTCTTAAAGTTAAACAAATACATTTCTAATGTCAGTAGTACATATTTCAGGAAATAAAATACCCTGGTGGTACAGTATACCAAGAATTGATATGTGTACGGCTGTTAACGGCATGCAATTGGAATAATAAATAAATTGTGTATTTTTCCCTATGGGTCCAGACTTCTGGGACACCCTGTACAAGGCAGACAAATATAATGAAAAAATAAAATATTATTTATTAAATGTAAAATATTTGTTTTTATAAATGGTTCGATAATTTGTTAATTATATAGTCAAGTGTTTTAATGAAATATTGATAGGAACATATAATCCAAGTGATGTGTGTACTGCAACTCACATAGCCTTAAAGTATACATTACAACATGTGCCTGGGTGTAGTAATTACATCCTGGCATTACATATTGTTTATGAGTATGTTTGTATTGAAGTTTAATGATAAATACATTTTTCTCATTTACCCTAAAATGTAAACAAAAATTTTGTATTTCCATCCATCAGTGTTCATTGGGCTGGTACAGAAATGTCAAGTGTTTGGATAGGATATATGGACGGTGCCGTAAGTGCCGGTCAGCGTGCTGCTTTGGACGTCCTTCGTGTCTTGCATCCATTTTTATTCATGGAAGATGAACTTAGAGCTCATCCTAAAATAGCCATCAAATATAAACCTATACAGAAGTCATTTAATGCAAAGTTTTTTGGTTTGCTGGTGGGTTTAGGCATAGTTGTTGCTGCTGTGGTGTTTAAGACTAAGCTTCCATTCCTTGTGTAAAACTTGGGTATCGTAACAGGGATACTAAATACAAACATTTACCCAGTTGTTGATTTGGGTATTAAAGTGGGAATAATGAAAATACTTGCAGTAATTACTGAATAAGAGTGCTATTTTTGATAAACGTTTTTATGAATGTTACGAGTATCAAATATATAAATTTTTTGTTTCGTATAAGATTTATAAATTTTCAGAAAATGTTAACTTTTAAATGTTTTTATGAAAGGTACAAGTGTATCAGTTAGTGTTCAGCAAATTTGTAAGAGAATCCACTTATTAGCGTAAACAAATAATTAAAAAAGTATTATGGTTATGTTAAAAATAGTTAGTGATTGTTTTGTCCTTCATGAATTATGTATTATTTACTTTTCCAAATATAGTGGACTTTTTTTACCTCAAAGTGGCTAAAACTAAGTATAAGAGTTTTATAACTACGAGTTCAAATAAAAAAAGCTAACTTACAGAAAATCATACATTTGAATTACAATCTTCAAAGTTCAAGGATTATAAAAATTCTTGGACTTTACATAGAATTCTCTACACATACGAAACCAAATGTTCATAAAACCTAATAATTTTCACTGATTAAAGAATAAATTTGAATTTATTTTATGCAACAGTTTCTTTTATAATTTTAATATGCAGCTGAGTGATTAATGATTGTTTGTAGAATCTTGTATATTGAACAACTGAAGTCAGTTCATTTATACTTGGTTATTTGTAGAATCTTGTATATTGAACAACTGAAGTCAGTTCATTTATACCTGGTTATTTGTAGAATCTTGTATATTGAACAGCTGAAGTCCAGTTCATTTATACTTGGTTATTTGTAGAATCTTGTATATTGAACAACTGAAGTCAGTTCATTTATACTTGGTTATTTGTCAAATCTTGTATATTGAACAACTGAAGTCAGTTCATTTATACTTGGTTATTTGTCAAATCTTGTATATTGAACAGCTGAAGTCAGTTCATTTATACCTGGTTATTTGTGGAATCTTGTATATTGAACAACTGAAGTCAGTTCATTTATACTCTAGAAAGTTTTTTCTTAAAATGTTGAAAGGATAATTAGCATCAGTTATAACTTTCAGTGACCTGAAACTAGTCACATTTTCATCCTAATTTTATGTATAAACAGTCACTTCAACAGTAGCAGTTTATGATGTATGTATTACCTGGCTCTATGAAGAATTTTGTGATCTAACTTAATAAAATTGAAATATTTCCTACACATCAATATTTTTTATCAATCTCTTCCACTTGGTTCTGTACTCAGTTCAAGTACTTTTTCTTCACTACAAATGTAATCTCAAATCTCATTTGAGTCCTGGTGTTTGTCTCCACTAAGTTTTTATAGAAAATAATGGTGATGCTACAACATGCACTGCCCATTGCAATTTTTAATCTTATCAGAGATTAATCAATCAGCTGAAAGATACTTACCAATTTATGTAGTACATGCCACCATAAATCATATTTTTATAATCTTTGTCAACATTTTGTGAATTGTTCTTAAGTTCTATTAGTGAAGTGGCCTGAAAATGTGGCACTACCCAAAACAATAATTGTACGATTACTCAAGTAATTAAAAGCTAGTTGAGAAAACTGTCACTTAGTCTTAACATGACAGGAGTGATCATATGATTTTCTGTTACATTCCTATAATAAAAACGATTTACATAACATTGTTGTAGCTACTAAGAGAATTGTGATTATCTTATTTTGTACATTTTTTCTTAACTACCAATTGATTTTAAATACAATTAGCAGCAAATCATGAACTACCAAACCAGGTAATGGAACATACACAAAACCACACTTTTATTCTAACCAATGTAGCATACAGGTCGGTCCAGTAATTCAAGATGAAATAACAATAATTAAAGCTAACTGGTTTATAAACGTAGTTTAAATTGGTAACCATGCAAATCTGACAGCAAAACAACTTCAACTGGGTTATAGTTCAAATGATGAAGTTCTTACACAGACTTTTATAATTAAGTGTACACTATAAAAAGTATAGAAAATTGATATTTTGTGGCTGCACACCACCTTACGTGTACTCTCATTTATGTTATTGAAACAGCTGCTATTCTGTAGTTTTGGGATCACTCATAGTTACAACATAAGAACTAGCATACTTTTTGATTCCGGGTGGGTTTTCCAACGTTTATTGCAAGCAGGCACAGTTAGAATCTTTCCTTTGTCTGGAGCATAGTGCAGATAAACTGGGATTAATGTTAACATCACACTGCTAAGTGATGCAACTGTAGAGCCTCGTAGTGGTATAACCAACAAGTTTCTTGTTATGCCTTCTCATACAACTACATAACTCAGTTTGATAAGTGAACTTGAGGGGTATAATGATTATTTTATGGACCATGAATGAAACAGTATGCGACACTAGATCACCTAATGACGTACCTTGTGTGTTTATAAAAGTTGGGCTTGCTAAACTCTCAAAAGACTGTAGGAGTACAACTTAAAATGTGGATACAAACCACTGATAAGTTTCAGTGTTTATTTACCAGTCACTCTTTAAAATGTAATATGCACACTTTTGAAATTTTGTATAGGAAAAGTTTCAACCATACCAGCTTTAATCTTTTGTGATAAACATTAGAAGAACCCAGTCAGAGTCAGAAATTGAGTGTACTACATGTCTATGTCTTACAAAACATTATATTGTGAACTCTCCAGTGGTTTAAATATTTACACAATTATAACTTCAGGTTATTTGCAAGGTTGTGCTATTACTTTTTAACATCTCTACTGAACAACTTTTATTTGTAATCAAATCTATTGTAGCCATCATGATAAAAATCATATTCACAGGGCCAAATCGAGTCAGTTATAAACCATTAAACAGTCAATTCCCCAAAAAATGAAGCAAATTTTTTTTATTCATCTTTTACATTTGAGTTAAAAGAGGAAATTGTTTCAAACAAATACAGCATTTTACAATCTAACTGTTCACTGATACTATCGTTACAATAGTCATTTAATAAATTCTGTATTTGGCCCTGTTTATCATTTCTCAAGTACCAAGAATAGTTCCAAAACCTAAGTTTCTTTATCATAATTGAATACACCATGATTTCTGGACACAGTTTGAACCTGTAAAATCTCATCACATTTTCTGTATAAAATTTCAATAAATTATGCAAAAAAATATGCTTCAATACAGACTTTAAAAAGCAATTTAATATGTTGTGTAACAACACATTAGGTAAGCAAGGAGAATCACAGACTAAAAAAAAAACCATTAACAACAGTTTAATTCTCTATCACAAGTACCTAACAACCACAAAATTTAAGTGCTTAGAAAAAACCTGTATTCTCAAAAGTGATACTGATAAATCAGTGCCAGTGAGACTAGATAACACAGTTCAACTATTATTTGGACTCGGCAAGGATTTTGTTTAAAAACACAACAAAAAGGCATGAAACAATGAACACAATAAATGAAATAAGAAGTTCCGACACCTAAGTACACAAAAACCACTAAATATTATTAAGATTACAGTCATTTCTTCATTGATTTACTAATTTGAGACATACTGGTATATAGGTAAACAATGAAAAATATCGGCAGGGTAAATGATGCTATGTTTAACCATCTTTATTTATGTCCCTATAGCAAGTTAGAAGACAGCATAAAGAAATACACCATGGTGCAATGTTGAACATCTAAGACATGATTTTTAAACATTACATGATCTTCAAGTTTATTTCACATAAATAAAAATATACAGGATGAAGTTTAATAATATGCCAATTAGTATTTTATGTACTAAAATATTTCATGGTCTCTGCAATTCATTTTCAAAACAGCTTACCAAAGAAATTGGATCTTAAAGTTATTCATTTCAATTCCTTAAAAACGAAACTCTTGAATGGTTTTTAAAAAAACATTAGTTCTTTACTGGAGATAAAACAAAAAAACTACTAAGAAAAAAAGTTCAACATTCCGATTATGATGAAAAGGACCCTTCGTTTATGTATTTCTAGTAGGAAACAAAAATTAGAATGACCTGCTCATCGGTCACTTATTTATTATCAGAAAGGATGTACTTGTGACATCTGTTTGAAAACAACAACCAGTAACTGTAATAGCTGTATATTTTATTAACTTCTAAAACCAAATTATTTCAACACTTCTTAAATTAAATTCCAAGATAAGTTTTAGTGAAGAGTCATGAAGCTAGATGATTGAAGGACAAGCCTGAACTTGAAAAACAGCTTAGCCCTGATGCACTATTACAAGCAGAGTGATTTTAACATACAGTAGCTGGCAAAGAAAATCTTTCAAGCCATCTGAAACCTAGGAATGCTGCTACACCAATGGTTGGTTTAAGGCAGAGCAGCAAGCATCCATCTCCTCAGTTCCTTTTCAGTTTCTGGCCAACTGTGGTCTTCAGTTGCTGTATGCCTTTAGTGACATACTTATCAATTATTCCATGATGCTTCAGTCCTGGATACATCACCACAGTCAAAGCTACAAAACAGAAATAACCAGCATGAGACCCACTCAAAGAATCTAAACACATTGAACACTTAAATTCACTGAAAATAATATATATAAAAAATTGCCGATTTGAATTTTTCAGTCTTGATTTATTTCACACCCATTTTTTTTGTCATTAAACAATTTCGTGTATTTGCTAAAGGTCCATGAGTTAACTCATCACGACCTCGTAACCATTTTGTGCTCGTTAAAGTTTTCATGCTATAACTTTTAAATTAGTAAGCGAATGTTAATGAAATTTGGCAGATTATCAATAAACATTACAATACTTTCATACATAAAATATCCATTTTTTTTAAAAATAAATCTTAAGGTTTATAAAGCAATGTTTTTCTCGTGTCTTTTTTTTTTTCACATCTTGCCTATCATGCAAAGTAATGTTCATTTTAACATTAAAAATACTTTTATGCATCAGAAAATTTTGAAATTTCACATTTGAAATCTTTGTAATGTCCAGATAGTTATCAAATATTTTGTAAGAAAAAACTATATTTTATCTGTTATTTTCACTGACGAATCTCTGTACAGGTTCAGTAG